TCCCTCGACCGGGAGCGCTCGCGCCCGCACGGCAGGCCCGCGGGCCGCCCGTCCCTCCAGGAGGCCCTGCGGGGGCCCGGGGACGGGAGGGTGCGCTGCAGCATCGTTGGGGAGCGTTTCGCTTACGCCAGTCCTCCTCCTCCTCCTCCTCCTCCTCCTCCTCCTCCTCCTCCTCCTCCTCCTCCTCCTGCTGATGCTCCTCCTCATCACCCTCCTCTTCCGTCCCCTTTTCCGGTGCGATGCGCCCTCCGCGTCGCACGCCCAGGCGTGTCGGCAGGGTGGGCTGGACGTTCCGCCTGAGACGACCCCGGCATGTGTGATCCTGAGGCGCGGACTGCGCAGCAGCTGCACGGATGGAGGGCGGGTCGTCTTCAAAATGTGGCTCTCGCATTAGAGCCGCACGCATTCGTCGTAAAAGGTCGCAGCAGCTTCACGGATGGATGACAGGTGGCCTCCAACGTGTGGCGACCGCTGGAGCGCCGCGCACACTCGCCCCAAACGCTTGCAACGGCCTCCAATCACGGAAGGCGGCTCGTTTTCAAAATGTGGTTCTTGCCTGAGATCCGCGCACGTTCGTCTTAAATGTTTGCAGTGGTGTCATGGATGAAGTGCGGCTAGTTTTCGAAAATGTGACTCTCGCCTGAGCGCCGCGCGCTTTCGTTTTAAAGGTGTGCAGCAGTTGTGAGGACGAAGGGCGGCTCGATTTCAAAATGTGGCTCTCGCCTTAGCACCGCGCGCATTCGTCGTAAAAGTTCGCGAGCGGTTCAAAGATCCGTGTGGCCGAAGTCCCAAGAATGGCGCTCTGACACGATTTAGGGCTGTCCGAACGCACCCGTCATGGTAAGTCGCCGTGCTGAAGTCTGGGGAACCGCGTTCTGGCACGATTCGGGATTGCCAGAACGCAACCCTCATGCAGTCGCGTTGATCTGCGGCGCCGAAGTGCCAAGAAAGCTGCTTTGGCGCGATGGGGAATCCTCCGACGGTTGTGTTCCCGCAATGAAACTAGCCTCATGTGAGACCCATGAAGGCTGAACGCGGAGGGAGGGTTTACTGCAACATCGTTGATGCGCCTTGCGTTTACACTGGTCATCCTCCTCGTCCTGGTCCTCCTCCTCCTCCTCTTCCTCCTCCTCCTCCTACTCCTCCTCCTCTTCCTCATCCTCCTCTTATTCCTCCTACTCCACCTCCTCCTCCTCACCCACCTCCTCCTGATCCCCCTCTCGGGTGTTGCCACAGGTGTCCCTGGCCCAAGCAGTCCCAAGGATTTCTGGGGGTGCCCAGGTTGCCTTCATAGCACCCCACACGAGGCACAGAGGGGCCCGGGGGCTCTGACACAACGACTCGCAGGGGGCACCTTGGGCCAGGGACACCGTTGGTACCCCCCACCTCCGCCCCGCACTTCCTCTTCACAATCCGCAATGCGCTTCCCCTACTCCCTCCCATGAGCTCCTCATCATCATCATCATCATCCTCCTCTTGCTCCTCCTCCTCCCCCTCCTCCTCCGAACCCCCTGCCACATCGTCATCACAACCATCATGCTCATCATAATCAGCATCATAGTCACCAGCAACATCATCATCATCATCATCATCATCATCAGCATCATCATCATCATCATCATCATCATCATCATCATCACCATCATCATCATCATCATCAGCATCATCGTCATCATCATCATGATCAGCAGCAGCACCAGCGTCATCCTCCTCATGTTCACCATCACCATCGTCATCAGCATCGTCGTCCTCATCATCATCATCAGCAGCGTCATCGTCGTCGTCATCATCAGCATCACGAAAGTCATCGACATCGTCATCGCAGCCACTCATCCTCATCATCAGCGGCATCATCATCACCATCATCATCAGCATCAGCAGCAGCAACATCATCATCACCATGGACGTCGTCGTCGTCGCCAACATCACCATCACCATCATCAGAATTACCATCGTCATCACCATCACCATCCCCAGCCGTGTCATCAGCAGCGGCATCATCAACATCATCAGCATCACCATCATCAACACCACCATCATGATCGGCATGCTCATCACCATCATCACCATCATCACCATCATCATCAGCATGATCAGCATCATCCTCATCATCATCAACATCATCAGCAGCATCATCGTCATTGTCGAAGGCATCGTCCTCCTGCTCAGTACCTCTGCAACCTCATCCGCTTCCTTCTCCTCCACGTATTCTCCGTCTTCCTCCTGCCACCATCGCCGACATCGCCATCGCAGTCAGCATCAGCAGCAGCAACATCATCACCACATTGCGCATCGTCATACTTGTTATCATCCACCACCTTGTACGCATACCCATTGTCATCGTCAACATCGTCAGCATCGACAGCATCATCAACATCATCATCATCATCATCATCATCATCATCATCATCATCATCATCATCATCATCATGATCGTCATCATCATCCTATTCTTCTTCAGCGCCAGCGTCATCAGCATCATCGTCATCATACTTATCATCATCAGCAGCAGCAGCATCAGCGCCATCATCATCGTCAACATTACCACCATCATCGTCATCAGCATCACCAACATCAACAGCATTATCAGTACCGTCATCACCACCATCATCAGCATCGGCATCATCATCAGATCCGCCTCCTCCCTCCTCCCCATGAACCACTGTTCTTGTAGATAGCCCCTCGCCCTGCCTGCCACATCCCAAGACGTGTCGGTAAGTCGGGACGGGTGTCTCGACATGGACCACCTATGACCATGAAGTTTGGAACCTGCAACACTTTCAGGGATGGAAGGGCAGCCTCTTCAAAATAGAGCATTCGCCTTAGCACAGCGCACACTCGTTTTGGAAAGCCTACAACAGCCATAAATGGAAAGGGGACCGTGTCCAAAATGGAGCTCTCGCCTCAGCGCAGCGCACATTCGTCTTACACGTTTGGAACATCTATGAGGATGGGGGGGTGCGTTTTCGACATCAGCCGCTCGCCTCGGCGCCGCACGCATTCGTCTGCAAATTTTGCAACGCCTGCCAGGATTGAGCGGGGTCGCTTTCAAAATGGAGCCATCGCCTCAGCACCTCGCACAATCATCCTAGAACTTTGCAGCATCTGCAAAGATGGAAGGGCCATTCTCAAATGACGACTGAAGACCTCGCTGTAGCGACGCGCACGGCCTTCCTAAAATATGGGATCGTTTTCAAAATGGGGCTGTCGCGTTCGCGACGCGCACATTCGTCTCAAGATTGTGTAGCAGCTGCGAAGATGGGGTGCGATGCCGCTTCAAAGCGAGGCTCTCGGCTCTGCGCCACGCACACTGGACACAACAGCTTGCACGAGGTAGGGATGGAGAACGGCTCCTTTTCAAATTTGGCGTGCCACTGCAGACTTTCTTAAATGTCGTACTCTGGATATCAGAAGCTTGGACATGTGCAACAACTGAACGGATCGAGGGCGGCTCCTTTTCAAGATGGGGCTATCGCTTCAGGTTCTCGAAGTTCGTGACCTGAAACGCGAAGTTGAGCAGCAATGACACGGATAGGGGCAATCAGTTTCTCAGAACCGGCATATCGCTGGATACCTCGCTGGACTGCATGATCATACCTTCGCGCATTCCTCATCATCCTCTAGAAGGATGTAAGGCAGTTCCTTTCCAGCCCTTAGGGAGCTGATACTTCTAAGGCATGCTTCTTATTGCGAACAGGAAGCATCGCAGGGACCTATGAGAAGGGAACTTCGGACAGGAAAAGACGTACTGCAGCATTGTTGATGCATCGAGGAGGAAGGGCAGACTGGAGCATGGGGAGGGATGAGAAGGAGGAGGAGGACCATAATAAACTCATGATGCATCAACGATGCTGCAGTACACCCTCCCGCCCGAAGTCACATCCTCAAGATTCCCTCCAAGTAATCCCTTCCACTGCGGGAAGCGCGCCCCTTGAATCACGAGAGCCTGGTGGGCTGGCCACTCGGAGGAGGCCCTGTTCTGTAAAGGATCGGCTCTGCATCCTTCTACCAGAGAGTGACGGGACCCGAACAGGAAAGAACGAGTAGAATTAGGTCGGGCCTGTCCCCCGGGGGATTTTCGACGAACGATTTAAAAAAAATCCAAAAATAGACTGGGGACTATTTTTGGGGTATTGTTTGACCCTTTGGGGGTAATGTTTGGGGTCTTCAAAATTTTTCGTCGAAAATCCCCCTGTAGGGGGACACGCCCGACACAATTCTACCGGAAAGTGACGGAACCCGAACAGGGAAGAATGAGTAGAACAGGAAGAAGACTAAACATCTACAAAAACAGGAGCTGTCGGAGGTCCGTGCGGATTCCTTGGGCCGGCGCTGAGACCCCCTCCCTCCGCTCCGGTGCCGCCCGGGGGGGTGCCAAGCGCCGAGCCAAGAACTCTGGGCGGACCTTCGAAAGTTCATACCTGGGCAGTTCTTCTCTTCGGAAGGAGGAAGAGGAAGAGGAGGAGGAGGAGGAGGAGGAGGACGAGGCGAAGGAGGGGGAGGAGGAAGAGCGGAACAGGGAAATGAGCGGAGAGACGAGGAGCAGGAAACACCAAAACCATCTCGGCCGAGACTCGATGCACCCGCTTTTCCGTCCCGACCCCCTCCCCACAGGGCCAGCTTCTCGCCCCGAGCAGCCTTCACGGCCCCGGGGCCCGAGACCCCCGGAGGCCGCACACTGCCAGAAAAAGCAGCCGCCGTGAACGTCCTCCCGGCGCGGGGATCTCCTCCTCCTCCTCCTCCTCCTCCTCCTCCTCCTCCTCCTCCTCCTCCTCCTCCTCCTCCTAATCCTCCTCCTCCCTCCTCCTCCTCCTCCTCCTCCTCCTCCTCCTCCTCCTCCTCCTTTCCCTCGTCCTCCTCCTCCTCCTCCTCCTCCTCCTCCTCTCCTCCTCCACCTCCACCTCCGCCTCCTCCTCTCCTCCTCCTCCACCTCCCCCTCCCCCCCTCCCCCCCCCCACCCCCTCCCCCTCCGCGAGGACGTCAGGCCCCCAGCGCCGGGC